TACTTGATGATGTTCCAGTCAGGTTTGAATAATCTTCAACAAGATTTTATTTGCATGATATTATTTGATAATTTCTATAGTTTTTTACTTACTTTTATTTTTTTAAAAAGAGAACAGATACATTATTAAAGGTTAATTAAAAAGCACTAATTGCTATCGACTCAGCAACAACCCATAGTTCACCTTCTAGTCGATTTTCAGAGACTGCAAATCATATGGAAGGTAATTGCTCATCTTTTTCCCAGGGAGACATGAACTGATTTCCTTTGAATTGGCAGCACTACTTTTTACCAGTTGGCCATCAGACATCCCTAAAGATTAATTGTTGTTAGGTGTTGTCAAGTAAAATATGACTCAAAGTGACTCTATGAACAACAGATCTGTATTCTATCCTGTGCCATATTCAATCTCTGACGTACTCAAGCCTATTGCAGTTTCAGTATTAATCCATAAGATTGAGGATCTTCCTTTCTTTTGCTCACCCTCGACTTTTCCAAGCATGATATCCCTTTCCAAGTGATAGTCTCTGCTAACAGCCTGTCCAAAGTCTGTGGGGGTTGGGGGGGGGGAAAGCTTTGTCATCTCTGCCTCTAAGGAGCACTCTGGCTGCACTTTCTCCAAGGCATATCAGTTTGTTCTTTTGGCAGTCCATGGGATATTCAGTACTGTTCTCCAGCACTGCAACTTTGTATGTAAATGGTTAAAAAAACATATATCTATATCTCTAACTCTCTATCTCTATTATATATATTATATATATTATTATATGTGTGTGTGTATGTATATATATACACACATATATATACATATATATATAAAGTTGTATTTAATATATTCACTGCTGTTATTTGTATTCCCACTTTGTGATGTAAGTCACACATTTTTTTGCTTCCTCTTAATCTGATCCACACTGTCCAAGGCAAAATACATGACTGTCTTTGTATTACTCTTAAATGCTCTTGAGAGTTCTGCAGTTTGGTCACCTCTCTTTTTCTCTCAAAGTATGGATTGACTCTAATCCTGAAAATAACAATATCATACAAAAGATTTTTATACTTTCTCTTATGATTCACAAGAAACGTAGTTTACCTGAGCTGGAGTCTAGCTGAAGCAATAATATATATAAAACTGTTGTTAACTTTAATATGTAAAATGCTTTCTTTTTCTTCTTTTCCATTCTGTCACGTTCAGTCTGTTCAGTTCATTTTCCTTCCTTTCCAGGCACTAAAAAAAAAAACAAACACAAAACAGTCTCCACCCCTTAAGTTAATGACCAATAATAGATTATGATTGGTAATTTGAAAAACTATTATTTTTATTTTATTGAGGTTTTTATGAAAGTTTATAGTGAACTTGGATTTCCGTTTGTTCATTGTTGCACGTTTTCCTCCCTGTTCCACCTCTCCCCCCAGTTTGCTTTCTTCTTTGGAAAAAAAAAATTCTTTCATTGTTATGCAGACCCTCCTGCAGTCCACTTTACTATATGCATCTCTTATTCTGTTCTCTTGTTATGCCAATAATACCTAATCCTATATTTCTTTTATATAGTTCTCTCCCTCGTCTCTTTCAATACTGTGTACATTACTTATCCCTTCTTTTCTTAGTTTTCCCCAACCTCCATGTCAGTTCTGCTTTTTTAACAGTTACATTATGTACTATTTGTCTTTTTGTGACAGATATTTCACTCAGTATAATTTTGTATAATATTACATGAGTTCTTTGTTTTTCAGTGCTGTATAATATTCCATTGTGTGAATATACCACAGTTTCTCTAGCCATTAATTTGTTGATGGGCACTTGAGTTGTTTATAGTTCTTTGCTGTTGTGAACAAAGCAGAAATATACATGGGTGTGCATATATTTGCTTGGGTGCAGTTCTGATTTCTTTAGGGTATATGCCCCGTAACGGAATTGCTGGATCAAATGGTATTTCTATTTCCAACTTTTTAAGAAAGTGCCATACTGCTTTCCATTGTGGTTGCATCATTTTACACTCCCACCAACAGTGGATAAGGGTTCCAGTTTCTAATGCAAAGAAAAACAGAGTAGCAGTAGTGATACCTGGACTTCTACTCTCATGCTTTGCAATGGCTAGTTTGTGATCTTAAAAAAGATAACCTATCCGATACAAGACCATTTTTTCCTCATTCATAAAATGAGGAGTTAGATTTGTGGTCTCTGTGCCGCCTTTCACCTCTGATGTTGTCCTTGATCTCTCCTGTCATTGAAAGGATTCAAAACAGAATCTCCCAGTGAAAAACCACATTATTCATGTTAATATAATACTTTCAGATCAGGAAGGGTTTGTTTCCCGCCCCCTCCCCCCCCCTTCTTTCTAGAGATGAGGGGCTCTTAGTTGTTTTACTCAGCTATGGCGAAATGTGATGAATAATTCTCTAGTTGTAAAGCTCTACTTTATCCCCTTTAAAAACTCTTATTTCCGTTTATTTTCTTTCCTGTGTCCTCGAAAGTGAAGAGATTTTTCTCCTTAACAATTTAATAGAGTTTAAGGGGGATATCTCAGTACTATATATACTTACATCCTTTCTGGGAATTCTTATCTCCCGTTTTGAGAACGTTCTGGGGATACAGATTAAGGATGCTGTTAGTTATTGTCAAGTCATGGCAGCCTAGTCATCGTAATCATTGGTGTGTCTGAGCTCGTTGTTACAGCCATTATGTCATTCTGTCTCATGGAAGGGTCTTTGTAGACCCTCTACTTTATCAAATAGGATACTCATTTGTAGGAAGAATTAAATTTGGGGGAGTCCAAATGATAAGATTTACAGCAAGTGGGGTTTAGAATGGCTGCCTCTCAGCAGCCTGTTATGGTGTTTGTTTTTTCTCTGCTGGGTACCAGCCCAGTGCTAATCAGCTACTTGTCACTTTCTCTGCAGCTCACTTCAGGTATGGTCTCTTGCTCTGGAGACTTTACTGGAAAGTACCTTTTGCTATCAGCAGGGCCCTTTGTGATGTTTGGCTCTGATATCTGAAACCTTCCGGACTGAACTCAGCATGCTGTGTCACCTGCAGGGCCAGTGAGGCCAGCCTGGTGGGACTGGAGTAAAAGCTGATGAGAGCAGTGAGCAATGAGATATGGAGGAAAGGATGGTCTTTTGAAGCAGCCAGCATTTTCTCCCTGAACTGAACTGTAAAGAACATGATTTTGTTGGAGGATATTAGTTGTTAATGCTGTTGAGTCCCCTCTGACTTATAGTGACCTTATGAACAATAGATAGAAGATACCCTCTCCTCTTCTGTGCCGTCCTTTGATCTCCTTCACACTTAATCCCATTGTTGGAATCATTGTGCTGATCCATTTCATTGAGGATCTTCCTCTTCTCTACTGATCCTCTGCTCTTCCAAGTGTTCTATCTTTTTCCAAGGCCTAGCCCTTCATGACAGCATTCCCAAAGTATGTGAGATGAAGTTTCACCATCCTTGCCTCTAAGGAGTATCCTGATAGCACCTCTTCCAATAAGAGTAGAGAACAAAATCTTTTCCTAGTGAGACTGAAACAAGTGCAAAAGAGAATATTGTGTTCTCACAATTGGGAGTTGGCTCTTAGGCTGACTGAGGTTCTAACATTGGCTCTCGAGTCTTGGCTGGGTTCTATGAGCCCCAGTTTTCTTATGCATTAAGTAATGAAAATAAAAGTGCAGGACTCTCAACACAATCTAAAAAAAATAAATTGAGAGTTTGAACAAGAATCAGATGAGAAGATAGTGAATGTGGCCTTTAGTCTCTGATGAATACAAGGTGGGCTTTTAGTACTGAGAGTCTTAAAGTTGGAGATTAGTATTTGGAACATTAGGGAATTAAATCTGTCAAGGTCAGGATTTCAAGAGGTCTCAGGGAGGGAACAGCAAGGCCCTACCCCTACAGGCCCTGCCCAGGACTTCACTGAGGTGAGAAAGCCTTGATTTGCACTGGAAGCATCTTGAATTTCCTTCTTTCTCATATATAACGAAAGCTATTACTGCTTTCTTCTTCCTTACTACCTAAAAATTGCTTCCCCACCCCTATCCTTTGGAAGGCATTTGATGAGTCATTAGGGAAGTGTCACCCAAAGAGAAGCTTTAAAGAGAAAGTAAGATGGGCACATCTGGCCCCTTTTTGCATAATCCGGAGCACAGGCTGTTTCTTTCATTGGCTGCCTTGCAATGGCAGAAGATTTTTTATGTGCTAAGAAGGATATTTTTGGTATTATTGGCAGGATAAAGATGTCTTAACCAGGGGGTCTTTTAGCCCCTATGGAATGTAAATCCGATTAGGAGCTCTTTGAGCTCAGCCATAAATCATTACCTGTCTACACTTTGCCCTTATAAAATATGGGTAATGATATGACTGTGTCTCCTAGGAGTTCAAGTGCATTAGCTAATGATCATGAAATCTTAGAAATAGGAAATTCTTCTGAATGCTGAGAGCTTTTGTAATTACACACTTGCATCATTTTGCTTGGCATCCTTGAACATCATGATTTCAACATAAGAATCCCAGGGTTGATAACTGACTTTCTAATTGTAGAGCAAGCTCTGAGGAAATGAGCTCCAAGAATGCTCAGAACAAATACGTTGTCATAGCATCTTAGCGTGGCCTTGAAGAAGCTCAGGATGGAGAGGTTTGGTTTATGCAGAAGTGGGTAAAAGCCTCATCTAGTTGGAAAAATCTCTGAACCTGTGTAATGGCTTCTACACAAGGTAGTGATTACACATGTCCATGCCCTTTGTTCCTGTGTCCTCAGACCTGCCCCTTCCTCACGCTTTGCCAGGGCGGCAAGCCTTCTCAGAGACTATCTTTGTCTCCCCTAGAAGAGTCTAGATTTCCCTTAATGCCCTCCTGATAGTCACTTTAGGATTTAAGAAGTGTTTGGAAAAGGTGTCAAGTGGTACCATCTTGAAGACCTTCAAAATAGATTATCTATTGATGAAAACGATCACAAGTAATAGTAACCAGACACTGTACCATTTGCTAACTGACTTATTTTTATTTCCTTTCAGGCAGTGGAGCTACTGCTGTGGTTCAGGCGGCTCTGTGCAAACCAAGGCAAGAACGTGTAGCAATAAAGCGGATCAACTTGGAAAAGTGCCAGACCAGTATGGATGAACTATTAGTAAGTAAAAGTGAAGGATTTCTGCTGGTTGCTTTTCTTCTGGGGAAATCAGATGGATGGGAGATTCACAAGATAAGACAGGGAAGAAAACTCGGTGTTAACCCCTATTCTGATTCATTCATTTTTTTGGAAAGCAGCCCACCTGGTTCACCGTTCATCTGATTAATAATACTGTAAATACATCAACATTGTGTAAAGTGTAATCTACTTTGCTTTGGTAAATAGTATTTGGCTCAGTCTTCATACTTCAAGTTCTCCACCGAAGTCCAGGTAATGTTGGGCTCAGTGGTGATTCTATTATATAAGAGAATAGAAGGGATCAGTTAGGTGATCTAAGACCATGTGATTACCAAGTGCAGAGTTAGATGGTGCGCTTCTGGCTCTTGGTCTAGAATCATGACAGATGTAGGAATTGACCTATTTTGTGGTCATCGTGCCTTTCATAAATTAACATGGCACATCTAAAGTTTTGTTACTTCTTAGTACTATATTTGTCTAAAAAGAGGAGAGTTGTTTTTCTGAAAGGACAACTCGTAATTCATATACCAGTTGATGTTGTTGTGTACTGTCGAGTCGGAACTGACCCATAGCTGACCCTCCAGTGGGTTTTCAGAGATGGTTAATCGCACGGGAGAAGATTGTCCATCCTTCTCCTGTGGAGCAGCTGGTGGATTTGAAACAAGTGCCTTTGGGGTTGCAGTGTAGCTTCTTGCCACTAGGCCACCGGTGATGTTATATACTATAAATATTCAGACTTGACATTATGGACATGACTACATACAGTAGGTGCACCTGATCCAGCCTTGATATTTTCAATCATTGGCAAAAGCTGGACAAAGGAGTAAGGAAGACTGAAGAAGAATTGGTTCCCTTGAATTAAGATGTTGACTAAGAATATGTGATAACACCATGGACTGCCAGAAGAGTGACCAGATCTGTCTTAGAAGAAGCGTGGTCAGAATGGTGCTAAAAGCAAGGTGGCAAGACTTCATCTCAGGTACTTCAGACATGCTATTAGGAAGGACTAGTCCCTGAAGGCATCATGCTTTGTAAAGTGGAACGTCGGTGGAAAAGGTTTGACTCTCATTGAGATGGACAGACACAGTGACGGCAGCAATGGTGCTAAGCACAGCAGTGATTGTGAGGATGGCTCAGGACTGTTCAGTGTTTCCATTGTACCTCGGGTTACTGTGTGTCGCAGCCGACTCAACCATTCGTCACACCACCACCAAGCAGAAATAATTGGGCCTTGCCTATGTGAACATGACTATAGTAGACTTCATTGGCTGAAGGAAAGTTTGCGTGTAGCTGAACAGATTCATTCATTATTAAATGAACAGCTTGGCAAATGGTTATTAGTTGCCCAGCAAACGGCAAAGGGTTTGAGAGTTTAATCTCATAAATATAGTTGTTGTTCTGTCTGCCAGTTTCCTTTTTTACCTCTTGCTATTTATATGAGAATAATAGAAAGCTGCAGTGGAAGAGTTAACTGATTGGTTACCCCAGCGTTAATCCCAGTACAAATATTAGCCCAATAGCTCCATACAAGCTACAAAGTATAATGGCAGTTGGCTCCAAATGAAGAAGCTTTTTGTTATACACTACATTGGGAATGGAATGTCATTAACAAGAGCTTTTTGTCTTTACTCAGAATATAGCTTTTATTTCAGGCTTATTTACAGAACACTATAGTATAAATTAAGTACAAGGATAAAGTTGTACTTTTCCAGATCTGTTTGGCCTTCCATTTTAAATTAGGCTATACAGTGTGCAGATTTCACTGGGACAGAGCAGCTATTGCCTGATGATACCTAGACTAAAGCAAGGGTTTCCACAATTTCATATTTCATTTTAAAATTTGCATATGTTTAAAGCTTTTATTACCCTCCAGATTTTAGCTGTGTTTCACTTTTCCTGAAACCTTCATCTCAGTAACCAGTAAAACCATGCTTTATCATTCAACCAGCTTTCAAGGTCATTTTCTCTGAGTGGAAAAAGCCCTGACTGAACTGTGGGGGAGAGTTGGGCCACGTTCCTGCTTCTGACTTGTTTTTTAACTTTAAGCAAATTTTCTCACAGGTTTGTAGTATTTCACATGAGATAGTTGAGTTGGAAATGATCTAGCATCTCTTTGTTGTTGCTGTTAAGTGCCATGAGGACCCATGTAGCAGCAGAACTGCCCCATGGTGTCTTCTACGTGTAATCTTTACGGGAGTAAATCTCTTTGATAAGACACTAGGTGATTCAAACCCCCAACCTTTTGGTTAGTAGCCATGCGCTTAACTATTTTGTACTACCAGGGCTCTAAATGTTTATTATTATTTTATATAGAGTATACATTTAAACGTACTTTTTGGAAATACCCTTCAATAATTATTATTATTATTGATATTATTACTTTTTCCTTTTGAGTATACATTCAAACTTACACAGTTTGAAAATAGCATTCAGGGATTCACCCATGGCGCTTCTGTTTGGGGAACTCTGGTGGCCTGTGTGTGGGGAGTTACACTACTAACCCGAAGGTGGCGCTTCAGTGTTTGGAATCCACTTGGCAGGAGAACGCTGGGCAGCCTCCTCCTGTGTGATGTATGTTGTTATGTGCTCTCGAGTTGCCTGTGACTCATAGTGACTCTATGTACAACAGCCGTAAACCCTGCCCTCTCCTGTGCCAATCTCACTGTCTCCGACACACCTACCCCCCTTACCCCAGTGATTCATGTGTGATGTATAGCCTCTGAAAACCTCCTGGAAGGTCAGTTTTGAGTCAGGTTCTACTCGATGACACTTGAGTTAGTGAGTGATGTATGTTTAATTGTAGTTTCTCTTAGAGGTCTCCTAGTCGTCATCTTTTTGTTACTAGTAGGATATTTGTGCAGGATTCTGTGTTAGGCTTGAGTGTCTTTATATTGAGAGTTTTGGAATCACTTTCCTGAGCTCTTCCTTGGCTCTTGCTCTTGTCTCTCTTCTGACCTCAGTTGCCCAGGAAGTCTCTGCTTGTCCTGTTTGCTAGGCTTTCATCAGTGATGGCAACTGTGTGAGGACTGGAGTGGAGGTCACAGCAAAGACAGTCATTCCCCCTTCTTCCACTATTTCTGTCGTAACAGAACACATGAAAATGCCATTTGGAGTGGCAAGCAGAACCATCCATCTAAGAGCTAGTGCTTTTCTGGCTTGGTGCCTGGCTCCATTGATCTCAGTAGATACTAGGATTTATGAGCTTGACTATTAGCAGTTAATTTATTTCTCTCATTGTTCCCCTTAGCCGAATGTCTGTGTGGTACAAACAGAGTATATATTTATTTATTTTTTTCATTTTAAAAGGTACACAACTTATGGTTTTGACCTTTTCTTAACCTTGAGCATTTGGTCTTTTGATGTCTTCTTGTTCTTGGAGATGGGGCATGGCTGTGGTTCTTCAGGATGCTGGACTCGCAGGCCCTTTTCAGACAAAGAAAAGTGGACCTTCCAGTACAGACTGCCACAAGTTGCTGGTGTTTTGTAGCCCGGTTTTTGGAATTTGATACTGTGTGTGTAATCCACACAACTTGTAATGGTGCTGTTGCTTGCACATTTATTGTTTCTGTGGGCTCGCATTTTGGCAGTGTTTAGACATCCGGTATCCTGGTAATCCTTTAATTCCATGTGTGTGTATTATGTACAGGTCAGTGCACTGTTTCATTGCACAAATGGGGCCAAATGTTAACTGGAAACCATTGTTCTTAGAAGAAACAATGGCTACTGCAGTCTTTATCTTCTGAGAATATTATGTCATAGAAGTCACAGTTATCACTATTTGCAAATCCTCAGAACATCTATCATCCCTAGAGAAGCCCACCCTGTACCCCCACCTCAGCTCACAGGGAGGGTAGGCTTATGCCCCCAGGCCAGTTGTGATGGCACCAGACACTTTTGGACAGTTGGTCATGTATCGGCTGCTTTATGTTGTGGAAGGCAAGAATAGATTTTCTCATAGCTTTGGAGTTGGCTCTAAGGTTGGCTGAGGAAGTGTGCAAGGGGTCATGATTTCTGAAGCAAAATCTGATCTTTAAAAGGAAAAAAAACGTGCATTTTGAATCATAAATGATATTTTATTAGTGCTGACTTTACAGATGTGGAGGTAGGACCAGCTTCTCTGAAAAAGAAAGAAAACGACACAGGAGCTGAGGTCTTTTGGGGCTAAATAATTGGTAATTTAACAAATATGAAAATGAAAAAAATATAATGGTGCTCAAAAATACCTCAGTTACAGTGCTGATATGCTTTATAAGCAGTCATTTGATAGACAAGTATTGTGCTTTCATAGTGTACTGCTTATATTGGTAGGTGTCTTTGAGTTCATTTTTGACTGCTAGTTAGGGACCTCTCTAAAGTACTCAACAGCAATGGTGTCTCTCTGGAGACTAAGGTGCGCCTGATACAGGCCTTTGCTATCACTTGTTATGCATCAGAGAGTTGGACAATGACTAGGGAGGACAGAAGGAGAATTGATGCCTTTGAGCTATGGTTCTGGAGAAGAGTATTGAATGTACCATGGACTGCCAAGAAAACAAACAGATTCATCCTGGAGAGGGTTAAGCCAGGCTACTCCTTGGAGTCAAGGATTTTGGGGCTTCGTCTGACATACTTTGGACATGTTGTAAGGAGAGACAGGTCCTTAGAGAGGGACATCATGCTTGGTAGGGTGGAGAGACAGCGCAGGAAGGGAAGACCCTCTATGAAGTGGATTGATTCAGTGACTGGGGTAATCGGTATGGGTGTGTCAGAGGCAATGCGATTGGCACAGGATAGAGCGGGCTTTAGGGCTGTTGTACATAGGGTTGCTATGAATCGCAAACGACTCGACGGCACATAACAACAACAGTGTGTCCTAGTGGCAAGGAGCTGCGCTGTAATCCCATAGGCATGTGGTTCGAATCCACCAGCTGCTCTGCCAGAGAAGGATGAGCAGTCTCCTCCTCTGTGATTAACTGCCTCTGAAAACCTGTTGGAGGGTCAGC